TGTAGTGTAGTGTATGTATGTATATATATATATGTGTGTGTGTGTGTGTGTGTGTGTGTGTGTGTGTGTGTGTGTGTGTGTGTGTGTGTGTAATGTACATATATATACATATATACATTCCACAACGTTTGCTGATTTACCTGCAAGTCTCTACGGAGAATGGATGCCAGCTGCCTGTAATACCGGACTCTGTAAGTGCCTTCTGCAACTCGTCCTGGTCGATGTGACCACTTCGGTCCGTGTCAACGTGCTGAAACCATCCCATCAAGGGGTCTGACTGCTGTCCTTGTAGTGGTGGCGGCTGTTGTTGTTGTTGCTGCATACTGATTAATATTATGGGTGATTCCTACCGTGGACAAGAATATCTGAAATCCCTCTAGCTAGTAGTCTACTCTCTCTACTAGTAGGGAACAGGCCGCATAGTACGTATTTATTACTGAAAGCGAAAGCTTTTCTATAAGTCCCTGTCAACTTATCACTGATCGGTGACGCTATTTGACCCATTTGTAGACCCCCTTGGAGTCCCTCCTCATTTCAGAACACCATTATTTCAAAACATTCCAGCCATGAGCCAAGTCCTCACACAAACTGAAAAATGTATGTATAGAAACGTAACAAGTTGTTGTTTGTTTTTTTAAACAATTTTTTTTTAAAAACAACCAGGCTAATACCCGTTTTACTCGATATATAAACCCAACTAGGGTTTTCGGTTATGCACATTTTATCACGTGCTACTATTTTTGTTCACCCTCAATTTTCCTTCTGTTTACTAGAATACGTATATTTACATGGATAAACATAAAAAATCAATTCGGTTCATAAATCATAAGTCCCAACAGGTTATAGGTGATAATTTTGACGACGATTCTGTGCTGCAGATTGAGGCTGAAACACCCGCCCCAGATGACGGATACGCCACCCTTGGGACCAGCCCACCCCCCCCCCCCCCCCGACCCGACCGCGCCAGAAGTCTATCCTCTGACTCATCGACCTATAGTCACCGCCACCCCATCCAACACCATGTTGTCCACTAATGACAAGAGTCACCACAAATGGACATGGACAGTTTATATATATCTGGATCCAAATATGACATCTGAAAATATATACCTCTATCTCGCCGCGGCCACCGAATACACCTCCGATATCCGCCCCCTCCTCGGATACGTCAGCACTGCCACGACTGACATGGCTGCATCACAATCTACGACAGCTAATAAGGTCACCAGCGCACACCAACGAACTCACCAGGTCATCCTGCGATCGTTATTCGCAATCTGCCGTTGTTCGAGAAAATCTCGTCCCACATAGGAACGTAATTAATAAATACAGCAGACACTAACGGCACTTCTGACTGAGTTTACCTATTTCAAACTTGACACTGCTTATTGCACAATGACATTTTCCTCAGTTATCTATGGCTTTTTCTCAAATCCTTAATCCGTCTTTGCAAGCATAAATCGGCAAAGGAACGAAAGAACATCAATCATGCTTACTTGCAAAAATTCAACCATAAAGATGATGAACCGCTTCTCGAATGGGCATACCGATGTGAACTTCTTGTTTGCCATGCTCGTAAACAAAGAACTACATTTTCTCATGATTACACCCAAGATCTCTTTTGCTCCGGTTTTATCAAGAACAAACTAAAGGATACCTGTTAAGTCATTCGACACGTGCCGTATCATCTCTATTTAAGAACTTTGCCTGTACGTGGAAGACTGAGGAGTCATGAATAGCATCCGACCACGCACCGTCAACAGACTTCAACCTGCACTCATTGATGCCCTCAACGCCCAAATTAGAGCTCTAACCAAACGGCACAATGCTATGACGACTGCAACTTTAGCCTCGCCGTCTGGACGCTGCACGAAGGCGTGTGGAAAATGCGGGGACAAACGACACCCCGCTAGAAAATGTACTACTACCGTCATGAACTGTACCAATCTCTAAGATTCGGTCTATCAAGGCGATATCAACGCCTTAGAGAAATTAAATGCTTGGGTTAAGTCTAAGTATCGTGGAATTCAAATAAATAAACGAAATGTTTCTTTTGGTAAAGTTATGTATGCCTCGTGATAACAGCAATGCTCTGAGGGATTGTGAGGCTGAGACATTGCCTATATATAATCCTCTCAGTACTGTTTTCGCCAAAGAGATTTTATTTAGTGTTTCGTTGTCGCTCTATTAGAAACTACGGTATGTTTCGTTGGGGCGAATCCGAGAGACTCATAAAATCCTATCTTTAGAAGAAGAGGAAAATAGTAAAAAAGAAAAAGAAAATATTTTTGATGTCTTTTGCTGTTATCTTAACCATTAACTTCCCACTTATCAAGAATTACTGACTTAGCCTTCATCAGACTGGCACATCTGGTTGGCTGATCGGAGGTTGAACTAGGTAACACTAATAGTCCCTAGAAACCTATATTCGGTTGAGCCATCTCGCTACCAAAGTATTCAGATATAAATAGATTTGGAAAGTAAATATAGTTCTAATAATAGAACTAGACAAAATATTTTGTTTTGTTTTTTACTGGGGCCTTTTAATGGCCCTGTCCAAATATCTGATATGTAAAATGGAAAAGGTGTTAATTAATAAAACCGTTAAAAATAATATAGGAAACTTACGTTCCTTGTACTATCAAGAGTACGTTTATAATTTACGCACTGCTTAAGAGTACGTTTATAACATAGATTCTAATGTGGAGGCCCGGCTTATTACACAGCCCCCATCCAGCTTTGAAACCCATGAGAAGCAAGTTGCTCACTCAAGCTGATTATGGGTCAAAAAGCGAGAAAGGAAAAACGGGTCGAAACATTAAGTAGCATGACATATAGTTAATATGTCTCAGGCGAAGAACTTGTGCTTTCTCGGTTACGCTGTGAGTTTTGGACTTAGGTCCAGTAGGTCCGTGGTGGTCGACTGGACGTTTCTTACGCTTCAGTGTCTTAAGCACGTATGAAGGATGAGCATTAAAGCTCGGGATAAATGCTGTAGGCGGATAAGTTTTAACTTCCGTGCCTTCCGACGATGGAAACATGCTATTTTTTTCAGCTTGTGACTGATGCAGGCGTTTACGCCATCTTAGATTAAAGGCTTTTAAATAGTCTTGATTTTCGAGAGCATCTGAAGTCAACTCAACGAATGTACCGTCTATAAAGCGTGTACGATAGTATGTATAGCCTCCCATATCCGTTCTCCATATAATGTCTTTAAATTCAGAACGATCAATTTAAGATTCGGTCTAATAAAGGCGATACTAGTGCCTTAGAATAAATAAACGCGTAGGTAAATTTTAAGTATGGTGTAAAATCGATATAAATGAACGAAATGAGATGTTTAATAAAGTTAGGTTTACCTCGTGAAAACAGCAATACTCTGAGGGATTGTGAGGCTGAGACATTGCCTATATATAATCCTCTCAGTACTGTTCCCGCCGAAGGGATTTTATTTAGTGTTTCGTTGTCGCTCTATTAGGAACTATGGTATGTTCCACAGGGGCGAATCCGAGAGACTCATAAAATCCTATCTTTAGAAGAAGAAAAATTTACTCTTGATGTGCTTAGTTATTGTCTTAACCAATAACATGCCACATATCAAGAATTACCGACTTAGTCTTCATCAGACTGGCACATCTGGTTGGCTGATCGGAGGATCAACTAGGTAACGTTAATAGTCCCTAGAAACCTATATTCGGCTGAGCCATCTCGTTACCGAAGTATTCAGATATAAATAAAATTGGAAAGTAAACAAAGTTCTATTAAAATAACTAGACCAACTCTTAATGTTTGGTATTCTACTGAGGCCTTTTAATGGCCTCATCCGAATATCTGATATGTTAAAATTAAAAAAAGAATTAATTAATAAAACCATTAAAACCCATTTTAGGAAACTTAAATTCCTCGTGCTATTAAGAGCACATGTAGGAGACTTAAGTTCCTCGTACAATTAACAGTACATTTAGGAAAACTTAAGTTCATCGTACTATTAAGAGTACGTTTATTTTTTGCGTACTGCTTAAGAGTACGTTTATAACATAGAGTCTAATGTGGAGGCTCGGCTTATTACACAGCCCCCATCCAGCCTGAAACCCATGAGAAGCAAGTTGCTCACTCAAGCTGATTATGGGTCAAAAAGCGAGAAAGGAAAAACGGGTCGAAACATTAAGTAGCATAATATATAGTTAATGTTTCTCAGGCGGAGAAGTTAAGCGTTCTCGGTTACCCTGTGAGTTTTGGGCTTAGGTCCAGTAGGTCCGTGGTGGTCGACTGGACGTTTCTTACGCTTCAGTGTCTTAAGCACATATGAAGGATGAACATTAAGGCTCGGGATAAATGCTGTAGGCGGATAAGTTTTAGCTTCCGTTCCTTCAGACGATGGAAACATGCTATCTTTTTCCGCTTGTGACTTATGCAGGCGTTTACGCCATTTTCGATTAAAGATTTTTAAATTGATTATCGAAAGCATCTGAAGTCAACCCAGCTATTGTACCGTCTATAAAACGTGTACGATAGTATGTATAGCCTCCCTTATCCGTTCTCCATATAATGTTTTTAATTCAGAACGATCAAGAGGGGCATTAGAGTCATGGCTTCTTGCGAGTATAATCTCTGTAGTCGGAATACGACTTGTGCCTATATTAAGCGCACTAGAACCACCGGGGTTATTTACCTCGTAGGTTCCACTTTTAGTGTCTGCTACAGAGATTATATATGGACTGTTAATACAGTAGCATCGGAATTACGTTGACGGTTGTTAACTTTGTCACCGATCTGATACTCTGCTATCTTCTTGGTAGTGTTCCAACGCTTTTGTCTTTTTAATAAGGCTATATTGCGTATTTCTCGCAAGCAAGGATATACAACGTTTTAAATACGTTGGACTTTTTCTAACCATGGTAACTCGTGGTGATCAGGTTCGTCCTTGTTAAAGGGGATTTGTAACTCACTATATCTGCCACGAAAATAGTGAGCGGGTGTAGTTCCTGTAACCGGATCAGCACACTCGTTCATTTGTGTTTGTACCCACTTAAGGTGGTACGGCCAATCATCTGCATCATCCGTTAATGCAGTACGCAAGAAGAACTTGAGTCTTCTATGGCGCGTTTCATTCGCGCCTTGCGTTT